GTAGTTTCTTGTGTTAATATTTACTTTTGCCGCCTTTCCCCAGGAAGATGCTCAAAAATCACCAACCACTTCTTAACATAATCGCACATCAGCTTTGATTTACTCAAGCCCCACCCAACTGCAACAACAGTTGTTGTATGATGAGAGTCAATGTAACCGTAATGTTTAATGTGGTGGGATCTTAAACGCTCTAAATATATCTGGATTTTGTTGTTATATCATAACTTGTTTTTATGTGTAAGAACAACCTTGAATCGGTAATTTTGTAGTCTGTTAACTCGGTAAACAAAACCACCTCATGTTTACATCCACCTTACCATATCACTATCACCAAACGTTTCACAAATAGAGGAAGGGAACTTGATGCTCTGTCTTGACAAAGGCGAAAAGCAAGCCATTTGATGGGCCTCCAAGCGGGACGGGTTGTTAGAAAGAATAATTATTGGTCATTGAGGTCGCGTATTTAAGAAAGTGGGTACAAAAGTGGATAAAATTGCACTGATAATGGTTGGCCATCAAATAGGCAAAGGTGGTGCAAGTAAATAAGAAATAAACCAAAGTAAAAATTGAGTAAAAAAGCCGTAAATGGTAACCATATGGTACGACTGCCATAATGAAGGATGCCAAGGTAAGATTGATTGGAATGGAAACAACTTCATTCAACTTTTCCTGTGTTCCCCTATCCCGTCATTGACATGACTGCAAGGAAGGGAATAGAATCAGGACCGTAGTGGCACCCTCGCTCGACCTGTAAACAGTTACATGTATTTGGGTGAATTTCAACACTTAATAGGTGAGTAAAGCATTAGCGTTTCAAAAGAGTTTGGAGTGGAGGAATTGTGGAGGTGTGACTTCAAACACTCCGTGAATTTGATCGTAGTATATTTGTTTATAATATAAAAGCGGAGTATAACTTGGTGAGAAGGAAAGTGTAAAACAGAAAACTTGCCTCTGACTAGATTTTTTGATAAAAAAATCATATCTACTTAGGCACATCTCTATCAAACTTCAATAGTACTGCTTGTATTCTATCTCACCGAGTTAATGCAACACCTATTCCTTCCAACGAATCGCCCTACTGCTACAGGACTTTGACAACTACCGCCAAAATTCTATTTGAGGTTAAATTTTGAAACATTAATGAGATGGCGTTGTGAGGAATACATCCAGGACAAAAGGTAGCGTGAGCTTGACCGTGAGTTGCATATTGCAGTTCAGATACCTTGCCCCTTTCCAGGTATTACTTTTAGACTCATCGAGATAAAAATGGATGCGTTAGCTATTACAATGTATTATAAACTGGTGTTTATATGCACTAGCCTAAATCCTGTTGACGTGTGGATTTCAGTGCATCTTCATAAGACTGCCATCTGATTTGTACAGAAAGCACAAATGCTGTTTACTGCGTTAGTTAATTTTTGCTTGCTTAGATTCTGTAAATGTCCTTTTCTCTATTTTTCGATTGTTTAATTTTCTCCAAGAACGCCAAATAAAATGTCAGCACAAGTGCTACAACACAGTTTGTAAAACTATTATTCATTTCAACATTAAATGTGCGGCAGCCATTTGTTGCTTTAGCAACTTCACGTCTAGATGACTTGGGTGATTGCAAATAGCGCAACAAATCGCACCACTGACAATAAAATACAATCCAGCAAATGTTCACTTGCATATCTTTCTGTTGTGTTAAGTCTGTCATGTAAGTTTGGCCTTGGGAAATAAGAAGTGACAAGTTTACAACCTCCGTTTTTGAGGCCTTGAAAGGACTGCACAAGCATACAGCTTTACTTTTAATGGAAGCGTACTTGGTTCTGCCGCAATTTATCAGACTGGAACTGTGGGAATGTAATTCACCCCTTAACTCACTGAAAATTGCGTACAACACTTGTCGCATTAAAATAATGGTACTGGAGTAAAAATGCATTGCTGGATCCAACTTATTTCGTGTATATTGCGCAAATGCGTAAGAAATTTAGGGTGGATGACGGCAATTGTAAGTTAGCACAGCAACAAATCCGAGGTGGACCGCCTTGGAATAAGTCATCTTTCCAAATTTTAACAAATATCATCACATCATGTGTCACTGCAAGAATTAAAAGGCCTTGTCTTAAGAACGAATGTATCATTGGGTGTGGAATAATGTTGGAGTGGTTGCCACACTGTGCAATGCTTCACAGAACATCTTTGCTATAAGGGCACGTTTTCATTTCCCACTTGGCACTCATGTGACAATCGAATGTCTCGAAATGTAGGAAGAGACGAATGAATGTCGTGTCATGCCTTCTCAATGCATCATGTAAATTGGTTTGAAATGCAGTCTAACCCACTGGCCTGTTCATAATTTCGTTGGCAAAAATCCTTACCATTCGCTTTACATCGAGTCTACAGTTAGTTTTAGCACACTGAGATGCTTCTAAATACTTAGCCTCTACCTACAAATTGCCTGTTATTTAGAGATACACCAATAGAGGATATCCAGGAGGTTGAAGGGGCACTATAATTTGGGAATGCTTCGTTCATCTCCGCATCAAAGTTGCGGCCACATTTCCCACCCATTGCAAATTTACCCATTGAATCACTAAGATGATACTCTCTTTTGTACATAATTGATAGCGCTCCCACTTCTTCTTTCTCATTACATTTCTGCCCTTATCTGGTGACATATTTTGCGTCTTTCATTCCAAGTCATTGTTTAAGTGTAGGGCTTAGTAAAGCATTCTTGTGCAACAATGCCTTACATCAGATGCGATAAAATAGGATTTAAGAGATCAGTACAATTTTTTCATTGGCGCTAGGATGGTTTCGTGGGGAAATTTGAACTAATGTGGGTATAATTGCTGCTGTTGGGATCTCAGAAGAGCTGCCTGCGCAGAGTGTTTTGTACATTGAGGTGGGTTTTGACTAGAAGTGCCACTTGAGTCCGCGTCAATCAATTCGACTGAAACCTTGGAAATATGTTTGTCTTCAACCAACGTACATCTCTTGCAACATCTCTTACCGTAGTTAACTTCGACGATGCCGAAATCGGTTAAATGGATCTACAAATTTAATGAGTAAGGGTACAAGTGCGTAGGGAATTTTAAGTTTACATTTTCGTAACATGGGGGTTACTTGTTCGAGGCAGGACGAATGTAACAATGCAGCTTCACTTGTGGTCGTGGGTTATCCGGTGACCGATCATCTGTACTAAGTCTTCCATTTTCTATGGTATATAATATTGCAAATATATGTACGTGGAAGTGTAGGAATTCTTTCGCATATTCCAGCCAGCCTAATTGCAGTTGTAAGAAAGAGTGCGACTGCCGATGACTTACACAGCACAATCGCACGCATTTTTCATTCCTTTTGTCTAATAGTGAATTGCACAAATATACTGTTAGCTGAAATTATTAATGCTTTGGTGCCACTACCTTGATATAAGCTGGAATTTTCATTTGAGCCTTTGAACTGTAAGAGCACCCCTATTGTTGGAAGTGTGATTGATCTGAGCTGCAGAGGCAAGAGAGTTATCTCAACCACTGCAAGGCGTATTCGCCCTGTCCAATGTTGTCTGTCAACTTTCGAAAAACCTTTACTGAATTGCATAAACAAATGCATGTCCATTGTCGAAACAACCTCACTGATCTCTACATTGTTTACAAGAAGTTTGCATAAGTCCTTTAAAGCAAATGCTGTTGCTTTGAAGGACTCGGTAGGATATAATGCATCTGCATCAAAATGTGTTCATTTATTTTAAATCTCATTGAACATTGTCACATCGCAAAGCAAAGTCCGTTTAGCTTGAAATAGACATGCGTTTTTTAAGGCGTCAGGTCTACTGCTTCGAGGTACTAAGTTGGTGATTTGCTAGCAATCATTATAAGCAGGTAGCTAGTCCAAATGCCAGTCTACATTCTACAAACAGACTTGAGAATTGCTTAAAAGCAAGATATAATAAACGATTACAGGAAGGAAATGAGAAGAAACGTGAAGAGGGGAGGGAAATGGGAAAGGGTTTCAAAGGTAATCCCTTTGCTAAGCCTAAATTGAAGAGGTGGGCTAGGCAAAGCTTTCTACTCACTTTTTACTTCGCGGCATCCTTCGGACCTGTGTGCAATACCCTCTCACTCACACGAATCGGCACTAAGTACAATAACTGTATTTGTCGTCAGAGTTTCCTTTGGAATAATTTGTTCCTTAAATGTTCTCTTACAGGTCCTTCTGTAGTTTTTGTTTTTACTGCACAAATCATGATGGTGTGGGGATTTGACTACATCACCAACCGGATACCACCCAATCTCCTTTGGATACAATTCCCAGTTTTCGCTTTATAACAAAGTAGTTGTCAAGTTTTAGCGTAACTGAACGTTTCTAGCCTGGCTCCTTGTTTTGAATTTTAAGATAAATCCTCAAGAAAAATCAACACAATGGCTACGTCAGGATTTGTGGAGGCATACTTCATTCTCACATTAAAACTGTGGGCTAGCTTCTTGCCCATTGGATATTGAGATGTCAAATGACTTAGATGATGAAGGTTAGTCTCCTGGAAGAAATGTTGGCCTTTATTCTATCTCTTCCTCGATGTAACCACCTTTCACCACATCCACATACCATAAATCTCATACGGCCTAATAAGAAAAATATTTAAATAAGCACAAACCGCCTCTACTTGTGCATATCTAGTGAAGGAATATTTCCTCTATAGCATATATAAAGCCATTTCGGTTATTTCACTGCACATTTGTGCCCCAAAAAGGGTTTATTACCTTCTAATAGCTCTGCAAAGACTGCTTTCATAAAAACTGCAGAACAGGCCAATTTACAGCACTTCTGGTTAGCATACTTCCCAGCTTATAGAATTAACACAAACTGTTGAGCAAAAACTCATTCCCGGTGCATACTTTTGCCTTTTACACCTAGACAGAAGGTTTAGAATTTTTGAAACCGTCAAGACGAATCCATTTAAATCTATATGACATGCCTTATTTTTTTGCAAATCTATCGGCTTAGTCTCTTAGTCCATGGAAATACTGCTGCTTGACAACTTTGGTTTGTGTTTTAAGTCCGGTGAAGAGCTGACACCAATTGTGTTGGGAATATTTTGTGCAACAGATCTGCTTGTCAAGTTTGCAAATCATTTCTTTGCACAACGCAAACTAATTCATACTATCCAACATTCCATACTATCCATACTATCCAACTCAGCATTCATCAACCTTGTGCATTTGAAGGAATTTCCTTCCACACATCGCTTTCCTAGTAATCCCTCATTCTTACCTTAATGGTTCTGCAACATCTGCAGCTAAAGAAAGTTTGCCACAGTCATGTTTCAATTATTGTTTAGCTCTTTTTTTCTTTTAATGTTTGGTTTTGACATCTATGGAATGAGGGATAGCTGCTCCTGGACCATAAGACATTAATTGGCACAATAACCTTGACAACACAAGTTGTGTGGTAGAAGGTTCAACAAAGTCGTCTACCTTTATGGTGTAAGGCAAGTGTGAAGCCACCAATTTGCTTATGCAGTTACGACGAAGAAAACGGCCACCGAACTGAAGTTTTAACTTTATGGGTTCTTCTTTTCCAATAGTCGCTACCGGGTGTAGCGCTCGTGTCGTTGAAGTAAGATAAGTAAGAATGATGTGAGGTTTAGTGTTTTAACAACGGTTGGTGTTTTGCATCTGTTGCAGTAAAGCTGACATCATTGTGATTGTCATTTCTGTGATCTATCGTTGACAGCACCCCTTGATGCATAACCTCATCTTTGCAATTTTTAACATCAAATTGGACAGTTTAAATCCCTGCAAATTTGTTCAATTCCATTTTGCATAACATATAAAATGTAAACAAACTAAAAACAATTTCTTAAGTTTTGCATTCGAATCTACCGGAGAAGGAGATTTTGCCTTTATCTTTGCCTACTATTTGATGTAGCTGTAAGTGCACAGTGTCCAATTTCAATTTGCATATGGTTAGTCCTCTGCCATTAAAGGCCAAATTGGTAGAGGTGGGACTGAAACCGAGTGTGTGTTGCTTTTAAATAAATTATCATTCCTCATTACGGTGGATTCCATTGCATCATGTGTGAGCCGCTTCAAGGATTGACACGTCCTGTCTAAGAAACGAAGGCATCATTGGGTGTGGAATAATGGCGGAGTAGCTGCCACAGTGCGCAGGGCTTCGTTGTATATCATAACCATGATTGCTTAATTTCACTTCAGTTGCCAACTTCCGAATATGGCAGAAATTATTGCAAGCAGTTAGTTTGTCTAAGGCTAGTCCGCACTTCACAATCAGACTTGCGGTTTGCTTAACTAAAAAGCCGACGTAAAACATTTGCCTGAGGACAATTTGTACAAGCGTTAGGATGTCAGGAAAATAAGGACAAGTTTTGTGGGTTACTCATGTACTAATCCTAAAAATGTAAAAATTGAGCTAGGCACGGCTTTCCACTTATGTTGGGATTGAAGTTAGTGGAAGTTATTTCACACTGTCGCTGTCTCACTTCACGATGCCCTTCACCTCCGCCTGCGACAACCACTCACTTAAGTTCTGGAGGCTCTATTCACTGGCTTGGAAACCAGATTCATCTGCACGTCAAATGTGGGTCTAAGTTATCGCATCATATCTCATGTCTTAAGCTGTTCTGCCAACCGAATGCCCCTATATTTTGTGTGCAGAACACAAATTACATTTGTGGGTGAAAGAAACTCTATCACTTTAAGAGCCTCTTAATCATCCGCCATTGCATTATTCTTAGTGCAAATCGGTATAAATTCTCAAAAAATTTCAATTTGTCGAGAGCTGCAAGTCAACTTAAATCGGCACCAGTTACAAGATCTACAGTTGGCGTCAGAATGGCCTTTAATAAAATTTATTTATTAAGTTTCCCATTACAAATCTTCGCATAGTTTTCGATTTCACTGTAGGTTTCTTGACAGTGCGAGAATTCGACTGCATCAAAAACAGTTGCAAGGAGTCTGTACTGGAGTTCTCGACTGCATTTAGGCTGCTACGACGCGAACACGATCGGTAGGTGGATGATTAGATGAACAGATGCAGGCGAATGCACAGGCGCAAATTATTGCAACTTGGTTCAAGGAATAGCCAAATCCGCAACGCCACACCCTCCGACGTCCATAACTGTCACTAATGAATTCAACCTTTCATTAACAAACTCCATGATGGCCACCATCCCATATAGTATATTATAGTGTAGTATACTTATTATTATTATTAATTTGCTTATTACATCTTTACTTATTTAATGATTGTCCATCTTTCTTTCCCCTTTCTCTTTCGCGTTATCTTCCTTCAACTAAACATTCCACTCAGCACCATTTTTGCTTTTCAACAAAATGCCCCACTAGATGTCCAGTCAAATGACTCGCTTGTCATTTTACGTCAATACGTAGTTGCAAGTCCACATTTCCCATTTTCATATCGTATAGCAATAGTGTTGTGATAAGTTAAAAGAGGACAATTCGTGGTTTTGTTTACCCAATTAACAGATTGTAGATAAACTGATTCAAGGTTGTATTCACAGGTAAAAGTACGTTATGTTGTCAAGTCAAAAATGACCTGCAGTTAGGGCAATTAAAATCGTGATTTTTTTGGGCTCTACTCTTACAGCAGCTGCTGCTGCAGATGGTTGCGGCTTGAGTTCATGTTGATGGAGCAGGGCGATTTAAAATGATAAGCGAATCTTTGTTTAAAGGAGGTTGGTAATTTTTGCCCATTTTCCTAGTGGACGGGGGGAATGGCAAATACTGTGACAAGAAACCTCTTAGGTACCCCCATAACCATTCGGCATTTCGTATCCTTACTTCGAATCTCATCCCATTCTATAGTCATGTATCGCAATGAATGCATCATTTTCGTGAGCTGAGTTGGACAGCAGCCCTTAATTTGTGTATCTTATCCTCCAATTTTTAACCATAATTTTATTAAATTTACAGGAATGTGTGCAACCTTCTGTGATTTACACTTAAATCAACCATAAGGTTCCTCTAACTCTCTGATTCCCAACATAATCAGACTAGTGGAATGCACATTTCACTTCAAGTTTCCGCATGATATACCACGCCAATTCCAGTGTTTGTGAAGAATCCTCCTTCCATATCTTCTACTTATATATGACATGGAAGTCGATCAAGCGTTTATCAACCTCAAGGTGGCAAAACAACATCAATTTGTTCGAACTTGGAGAAGAGCATTATCTATTTGTTCCCTTTGTGTACAATTGGATAGCAGTCTAAATCTAACACCATGTGAAACGAAACAGTTTCTTAGGTACTACATCAAATTTCCACGTCTTGCATGTGACTTTGTCTTTTCAAGTATATCTGTGGGTAGAAACTCACAAAGAATGCGGAGCCATATGGTATTAGGTAATTATTAGTAGTAATAGTAGTTCGATTGATAAAGTTGATGTTAGTTGAGCTGCCATTTTGCAAAGACCTTAAAGTAGTTCATTTCGCATCATACAAATGAGTTAAAAATGCGTCGTCAATGCTGCCCTGCACTTCATCCACATTCAGTCACTTGAATCGCCTTTAAGTCGAGTCTCAAAGTAATGTGTTCGGAAGTAGTGATTGTGCCCAGTAAGATAGCATTTGTCAATAGGAACATAGTGAATCATAAATTGATGATGGTAGTACCTCTGAAGGAGACGTCATTATATTCCTTTACGATTTGTGAGTACTTTCTTGCTATAAAGCTAGTCGTTCAAATTTGCCTAAATATAAGTGAAGGGGCACAATTATTCAGGTCACTGGCATGACTGCATATCAGGTATATGGTTGCTTGGGAAATTCCTTGAAACATGAATTTCGTAATCATTTACATAGACATAACTCTATCAATACTTAGTTACAGTTAAAATGCTCTTGGTCTAACCAGATGCAAACCAAAATGGGAAATGAGGACCATCATCTACCCTTAGAAGTAGGCGATATGTAAGGCTGCAAAATGGATTTACGGTGGAGATGAACACAAAACTCAAGCAAACATATTCAGTAAATCTAAAATCTGTACATCTGATAAAACAAAACCAAAAGAAACAAAACACGCAAGGTTTCAAGCAATCCAATTCATGCTAAAACTGTAAAGATGTAGATGTGGAGTAAGGAATGTTGTTTTCTAAGATTAGAAAAAGTGGCACCCACACAGTGATATTGACAGTAAAGTGAAGAAAATTTTAACTCCGCATAAAGATTTTAGCCAAAAGAGTTTCTTTCGCTAATATCTACTGTTGCTGCATTTTTAATGAAGCTAAATGCTAAGCATCAGCAATCACTGAAACATTAAGTCGCTCTGCTTCATTCACCCCACTACATCGACTTGAATTCAAACCTGATACAAATATTAATTCATTTTGGCGTGCAAAAATTTTTAAAAGTCTCCTTTTCTCCCCTTCCCAGTTGCTAAATTTGCTTTGATGAAACCAAATGTACCAGCAGAACTAATGCTACAACACGGTTTCTGTAGGCAAAAATCAAAATCACATTGAAATTGCGTCCCCTTTTCTTGCTATTGCAACACCACCTCTAAATGTCTTGGATGATGTTGGATTCATCTTTTCCAATTAACAGTTAAACACTGGTTTGCTGGTGGTGACTTAAGCGGTCAACTAAGGTGTTTGATATAGCATTTCTAATAGCACAAAAATTGGCAGCAATTAATTGGACTGCAGTTGCAGAAATCGCTATTCACCCTAACTCACATCCCTCGCCCACAGCAATTGTCGAATTGAACCCTTTTACTGGCATTAAACTGCACCTCTGGTTTTAGATATTTTAATGAATATTTTGCACATGCATGAGGAATTTTAGTCCTGCATGCATTCTTCATATTGCCATCTCGTAGGTGTATTAAGGTTTAGTATCAAGTGGAGATTTAGCGGTGTTTGTTGGAGTCCGTGTAGCTGTTGTTGATATTGCTGGCCGGTATAATGTGTTGCATTAGTGACTGCTAGATAGAATGCGAGACATCCAAATCTATTTATAAGAAAGATACATCTGATTAGAGGAGAAATTTTGGCAAGAGTTTAGTAGCTGGCAGGTTTTCCTTTCCATGCCTTCTTTCTCACTGACGCCTAGTTTACTCTAAAATCATAAAAAAAAACTAAATCGTCATCGAATTCACGGAGTGTTTGATGCGACACATCCACTCTCCTCCAATTTCAGCCTCCATCGAAATGCTGAAGCTTTACATGCCAATTAACTGTCAAATTCCCCCTAAATGCATGTGATTGTCTACAGATTGACTAAATTGAACCCTATTGCATCCTGAAATTGATAACGCTAGGCGCAATTACGTTACCACATTTCAAATGTGCAAGTTGCTAGTCATAATTAAGCACCACAGCAAATCTAAGGTGTGCTATTTTTGAATACGCTACCATGGTCTTATAAATAAAAGCCACTGCAACACGTTGCGACCACCTGCGTGGATCTTTCAGGATAAAAATGATCCTGTCCAAGGGTTAGATGTGCTAGTAGATATGGGCGATTGTGGTACCAGTTTGTATTGTGTGCAAGGATGCCCTTTGTGCTTTCGCCATGAGGCCCTCCATTCAGTCCACTTTTTGCAGTCATGTAAACGAGGGGCTCCGGGAAAGCAGGAGAAGTTGAATGCAGTTGTTTCCATGCCTTGCGCACACAGTGCATCAGCTGAAACCGCAGTTAGTGGAGATGGGTTGCTGCTTCGATATTCAAAGATTAAAATGTCCATTAGTTTATCAAATGCCTAACATTTGAGCAAAGAATGAAGTCACTTGTTATCATCCAGTGGGGAACCATAGGTTATGAAATTGTTCAACTTAGGCTTCTTTGTTTCAAATTCTTGAATACTGCATCTGCTGCTCTAAACATCGTAAATTTGCGGGTTAGGGATGGGTTATCTACAAATGGACATTTTGCTAGCCTGCCAACTCGAGGTGTTGATCTTCAATGACCAACTTTTTAAAAGCCAAATCTACAAACGCCGAGTTCTGCGCTTCTACTAGACTGGATAGTTTGAAGATTTGGACGGAGGCTAGTGGAAGTTGTTATTTTCTGCGCCTTCGCTTGCTACCTTATCGTAAACGGAGATGGGAAGCTTCAGTAGGAGTAAGGCTGAACATTACAGATGCCAATGGGAGACTTAAAATCGGTGTTGAAACAGGATTTTCAATCACGAGGTTCACATTCATGGTTCGAGATTACAAAACGCCTTGATAGGTCGCAAGGTCATCCAAAATCAGGTTATTCCGAGGTCGACGCACTCCCATTTCTGCATTGTGCACGAGTAATACAAAACTGCGTAGAATTGTAATGAAAGTATTCTGCAAACAATAATGAAACACAAGAAGGCTTTTTAGATATCATTTGCGCTATCCAGTGTAGGCGAGAAAGGATGCACCACAAGCACTACCACAATCGCATCAAACCATTCACGCACAAGCACGAGTGGACAGGAGGGTGACAATGACATCATCGCTACTGGGGAATACCTTTCCTCCTCATCCAGGCTTCTAGTCACCACCTCTAATTTGGCCCATCTTTTGCCTTCTTTCCGCATTCCTATCATTGGCGTCCTCTTTCTTCTTCTTTGGCGTTTTATTTTCTGTCCCTCTGAACTTTGTTCCTTTTTTATGCTATTCATCTGTCACCTTCATACATTTCTTTTCTAAGTTCTGTTTTTTACCTCACTCTTTTCATTGAATAAATGAGTGCATTTTACAACTTGATACACCTTGATAGCTTGCCATGCGGCATTGAGATATTAATCCATATATTGTGGTTCATGACATGGCGCTCTGATTTTACCATTCCGACCTGTACGACTGTCAGTTCGAGGTGATATTCTGGTGTGGTTCTGTTGACACACAGTTCCTCAGATGATCCATTTGTTAAAGTTAGAATCCGTTTGCACACGTGCGATTTGTTCAAGCCTGCGTTCAAAGAGAAAAATGTAAAGTAAAACTTCAAGCTTTATCAGCTCTTTCTGTCTCTGTAATGAGCAGGAAATCAGGCCGAGTGCCACATCATTGTACTGTCGAGGGGTGTTTTTTATGAATTTTAAAATGAAGAAATGTAAATTTAATAAGATTCGTTGACATCAAGCTACAGCTGTATGTCATAAGTGATTAATCTTATATTTCATGTAAAATAATCCACTTTGGTTCAATAACCTCACCGTCTGGACTTGTTACACCAATCTCACTAAGTTGATCTCATTATGCTTCTAATGGACAGAGAAACGATTCTTTAGATGGGTAATTTATAATCATTTTAAATTGACATGTTTTAAACATATTTGCAATAAAGGTTTGATTGACAAAATATTCTATTTGTCATGGTCTACGAATAATCTCGTATCTTTTTCTTGGAAAAGCGTTGTTTGAAGATATGTTTAATAGGGTGATTACGCCAGTGATCAGAAACTGGATGCGTAGATAAAACAAGGTGAGATATATGCTTGTTTGCAGATATAAATACTACATGAAAAGCCTTGTTGCATTTGGTTATTGTTTTCAATTCCTTTTTAGCCCAATTTTGCGTAGTTTGATATTCCTGCAATGCAAAATCTTTTAAATAATGCAGTAAATGAAAAGCGGTGAGTGTGAATGATTTGGATGTTAAATGTGACCGACTAACTCTTTATCAATGCTTTTTGGAGTGGCAAAACATGGGTGTGACGCTCATAATCGAAAGTCTCTTACCACCATCACTCAAGACATGCTGTCTCAACTGCTATGCCCAGTCTTTCCTTGATTGGTACTTCCCATCTCCTTATTTCATGAAGTAGTATGCGAAGACGCAGAACACAGCAAATTTACTCTGACTCGATGCAAAGCTCCGAACTGATCACTCTAAAAATGCAAATTTGACAATTAACGGTTAAGTGTCACGGATCAACCCCTAGAGTTGACTTGCTGCCAGAATGCACAATTGTGGATACCCCATCAGTAACCCTAGACTTTGCAATGTTCAGCAACAGCGGCAGATGCGATATTCTAAAAAGTGGAATGAACAAGTTTAACCGGAACAATTCATCAAGCACCAGCACCACACTTGATGGAAAAAGGTGGTTTCATTTTTGCTTCAATAGTAAGCATGTGATAAACAAATGATTGTTTCCTTATTTCTGCATCAAACTCAGCACTATGAGTGTGTCTAGAGGACTCGACTGGAGCTGCGTTTGCAGGTAGACAAGTGATTGACTTATGAAAGGCGATCATGCTGAAAGTGAGAAGATAACTTATAGGTAAATCACATTATGCGGTCGAATTTTTAGTGTTCCCTGTACTTTCTAATTGCATTGAGAAGGCAAACCACCTCCACTAATGACAATTTCAGCTGGTGCATTGAGCATGCACGGCAACAGCTTCATTCACCTTCACTCACATTAGTCGATCTTCTTCAAAAATAATAGGGTCACAGTGCAGCTTTGCGAACACTTAGAACTAATTTGACTTTTTTTGAGTCCCCAAAGATTCACACCAGTGGTATTCTTTTGGATGAGGATGGTGGCGTAATTCAAAGCAACTCACCTCGAACGTGTTGTAGCACTGACTTACAACTTCTGTCTCGCACATTTGGAATGTGGTGAAGTACTTGCCTCAGAAATGTGGAATTTGGGATAGAAATAGGGTCTAATTTAGTCGGCCTGTCGAAAACCACATATATTTGGGTGAATTTCAACAAATATTTGCGTACTCTAGCTCCCCGATGAAAGCCAGAATGGAGGAGAGTTGGATATGGGTCACATCAAGCAGTGATTGCTTTCAATGGTGGCATAGTTTTTATAATTTAAGAGCTGGCAAGAAGATGGTGAGTAGGAAAGCATGCGCAGAGGAACGGGCACCATAGTTAACCTCTACGTAGACATGTCTCTAATAAGACTAATGTCTCATCTCTTGCATTTAATTTCATAATGACAAATACATTGCACTTGACTGTCCGTCAAAATCTGCTACTAGTACACGGACACTTTCAACCTCCTTTGATGTGTAGTTTTTGTAACATCAATGAGATAACAGTGTGAGGCATGCATTCAAGACAAAAGGTGGCATTAACTTAGCTGTGGTCTGTGTATTGCAGCTCAAAGGCCTTCCCTCTTTTCCATATACCAATTTTTAGAATTTTTAAAGCAAAGATGTATAGCTTCACTGTAACAATGTGTTATGAACAGGTGTTTGTGTGGGTTGGCTTGAATATTGTCAGTGTGAGAATTTCACTGCATCACCCTACGGATTCCATCTAACCTCGTTCAGCCAACAAATGTTCGCTGGTGTAAAGTAGCATTGGTTAGTTTTGGCACACTTGAACTTTTACAAATCTTCTTTTTTTCCATTTTCCATGGATGCTTTAACACGACTTGTGTGGACATAAATAATTTCTAATCACATGTGCGGCCCCATTTCTTGCCTATGCAACTCTAAATGTTAAATGACCTAAATGTTGCTCAGCTTTTATAAATAAAATGTTGGGTTCTTCCTTCCCTATCAGCAGTTCCACTCTGATCTTTAGCCCATAGCAATAATTTTGACATTGTTTATTCAGGTCGCTGTTCAAATGAAGAGCTCGATAAAGCAATGCAAATGGCGTGATTAGTTGCACCGTTAACAATGAAAGTGAAATCCTACAAGTGAACAAAAACTATCCTTCTGCGTTAAATGGTCTTATGAAAATGAGTTGTCGTGGATGTAGCTTGTGTGTTGAGGCCTTGACAGAGCAACCGACACCATCCAAAACAGTACAACTGGATGCGCTACTTTGGTTTGTGAAAAGGTAATTCTTCTCAACACACAAACATTCCTTGCAAAAAAATTTCACGGTACACAAATCCGGTGATGCAGAATCCATAGGGTACTTCTAGGTTTTTATTTTAAATAGATATTAGCATAGCATACTTTGTTTGAGGTAAGGTGGATGTGACTACAAATCATTACAATTGATGACATCTGTGACAGGTCTATGAGGAACGGAGCAATATGTCAACATATTTGAATGAGGGATACTAAAGTTACAATGGGCCAGGATGACTACGAATGCCCTCTACGATACCCTTTTCTGATACACAGTGTAAACAACTTCAAACTAGCATCTCTGTAAACGACAGTTACTGGTCTGCGTGCTAATTCAACGCAAGCTTTGGTGTCGGGGCTACAAACAGCTGTAAATATTGCATTGCGGAACCCTTAATCAGATTCAACCATTTACGACAGGAACACAATCGCAAGTCGTATAGACAACGACGTAGATAAAGGCGTATGCGAAAACAATTGCATCTTATTGCTAGAAACTGCCAAATCCACAACACTGCACCTTCCGGAATTTAAAACGGGTGCAAAGGAACCCTCCTTTTCATCAGCAATCTTTGGGATAGTTGTGTTCTCCTGCCATTTGCGTTTAGGCTTACTTTTATTTATTTTATGCACTAGTACATCTTTAGTTTGTTTCTATCATCTTCATGTCCTTAATAAACAGCCATCACCTGTTTATTTTTTCCCTCTGGTGTT